GCATTACAACAACAACAGCAGACAAAATTCTTATCTGGCGAATTGTTAGTAGCCTGCACCACAATTTGTTAAAAATGATCCGCACATAAATGAAGTCAAATATTTGAAATAGTAATGGTGGCATGATGTACAGGAACCCTCCAAGCAGTGATATCATTTGGATAGGCTCAAAAAGTACACTGACACACTCGTAGTAGGAATTTTTAAAATCAAATTCAATATCCTTTGGTAGTGAACAGTTAAAGAATGGTTCAAAAGTATCACCAAAATTCACAGTATAATAACACTTACTGTAATTAGTGCAGTAATCGATATCAAATGTGGTGTAATTGGAATACGATAGCAGCAATATAATAATGGACATAAGTACTGCCAGATTGAGGTAAACGAGAGCATGTATCACTGGAGTTGTTATAGAGTAGAGCCTTCCATTAATTTTCAATTTCGGATGAGTAATCGTTTCCTTGAACTTAACGACTTTGGATCCAAAAAATGCCTGAGAAAGTCTCACAGTCAATTTAGAACAAAGGGTAGGTCTACCATTTGCATTGGCGGCGTTGCAGAATTTCCTCGAACAAAATGATGTCTCGGCATTGGAATATGAGAAGGCTAAAAGGCTTATTATATCTAGAACAATTTTATATCCAATAAGTACAGTAGGAGCGATGAGAATAAAAACATCATCCCTTGCGCCCATGATTGATTCAGATCATAGATACTATATACCCCTGGATACCCGACCGGATGTTCTGAGGCTTGTAATTGTTTCACCGGAAATACGTCATATTACGTTTTTCATTCAGAATAAAAATAAAACAATGATAAAAAGTATTATTTTGCTAATAAAAGTGTGATTTTATGTACAATAATACAATAAAACTTGACCTTAATCATGCATTATAATTGCTGAAACTTTCCTTTTCTTTTAGTATATGCAGTCTACCAATGCATGACTTTCCCATCTCTTGTCACCTCAGTAAAAATGATGATTTTGACAACACAATTGCACCAAAACTAAAAATACACTCCTTTTGAGAATAGGCCCACTACAACTACCTATTCTCAAGCTACAAAACCATATAGAAAAAGTTCCAATTAAGTCAAGTATTACAAAGAAAAATTGGCTAGAAAGGTGGGGCTTGAAAAACCAAGATTTAGAAAATAACAGCTCTTTTGCTTAACACAAACTCTAAATAATAGCCCCACTACAACTAGTAAACAATAACCTATCAGTGCAATAAAAAATGTTGGCCTAATTCAACAGAGTTAAGCTAAAAAAGTGGCTTGAGTGAAATGTACACAACAAGTAGGCTATGACATCCATTGTAGAACTAAAATATGCACTCAAACTATCGTTTATGAGCATTATTTCAATATATAAAGGCTTTGCAAAGTCCTCTGAGGGATCATTCAGCTACTTTAACAAACGAATAGGCTACTGTGATTGTTTTACTTAACACAGGGTGAGGACAGCCGGATGTGACGTTTATGACGTTGCCTTATGGGATTTTATATGTGTGCATAGAGGAGTTTCGTATCCAGGGGCTATGTTCAGATTTAGATTATTATCATTGCCCTGGCGTGGGTGGAACATCTAGATAGATAATGATGGCCGCTGTCTGGTTCATGATTCTTTTGACATTTTCCATACAAATGCAAGCTCAAGCTAAAGATATTCCTATTCCCAATTACAACATCAATCTTGACCTCCCTCCAAATGAGCGCTGGAAGCAAGTAGCCATTGACTACAGTCAAAGCCTAAAGGAACTGATTGATTACTTCAGAGAGATAATTGGAAACAACTCTTATCACATGCTCTCCATCATGGCTGCCAGCCTAGAACGTTATTACCCTCAAGAATATGCTCAGGAGATGATGAGTTTTGTGACTTACGGTCAGATCACAGTCGGTGACATAGTAATATGGAACATGCTTGATGAGTTAACTGCATACGTACATCAGTCCTACCCTCCATCATCTCACTACTCCTCTTCGTCTATTCCATTCTTCTCCACTGATCATGGTGCTTGTACCAGCATCCTTGCAACTACAAAGGCTGGTAAAATAATTCACGGGCGGAACCTTGACTATGGTGGACCGTTACGTAAGCTAGCAGTGACAGTCCATTTCCAAAGGAATGGCATCACGGTATACAGTGGAACAACATTTGCTGGCTACGTCGGAATTTTGACTGCTGTTAAACCGGGGCGGTTCTCTATAACACAGAACGATCGATACGATGGGACTG